CGGCCGATTCCTGGAGGAACCTCATCGAGCACATCGGTAAGGAGCCGTCCCTTCCCTCGGTGTCTCCCCCTGCACACACGCCGGGGGCGAGGGACCCCACCGGAGGCGGCCACAACTTTCCCGCTTTTTCCCGCCCCCCTCAAAGCCAGCTCCGGAGCCCGGCGGTGGCGGGGCAGGGGGGCGCCTCAAGCAAGGGCTCGGCCGGTGTGTTAAGGGAACCCAGGTCTCTTGTCCTTGCTGGGGAAAACACCCCAGAACCCCAAACCTCTCTCTGTGGGTGTAAAACACGGTGACCGCGGGCTGAGCGCCGGCTTTTTGCTGTCTTCAGGGGCAGCAGGTTTGCCGGAGGCTTCTGTCGCTGAGCGGCTTCACCTGCGATCGTAAATAACAGTGATTACTTCTTGTAGTGACGAGGTGGTTAATCGTTAAGGCTACGCCTGATTTTGCATACTCAAAATAAGGTGTACGACTGAAGTACTGGGTCAGCTGCCCTGTGGGACCTTAACCAGAGTCAGCATGTGTTTGTGAGAGCTGCTGGTGTAGCATTTGCAGTGGAGGACTGAGTTATTTTATCATTTGTGGTTTCTTTGTAAAGGCAGAATCCAGGTTATCTGGGTGGCTGTGGCACAGAGCACTGTTATACTTCTATTTTTTTTTAGTTATTATTTTTGGTGGGATGTGGAGAGAACCTTCGCAGCCTGTTTCTTGGCTTCCTGCATCTGGATTGTGACATTCCTCAAAGAGATTTGGGCAACTGCAAAGATAAGCCCCATCCTGAGACAGGTTTTATATGGTGGGAATATAGAAGCTTGTTTTTTAAACAGTACTGTTCAATTTCAGGAAGCGAAATTGCTAGGTACTTGAATCTGGAGGGCAGCAATGTAGCACTTCGCGTGGGAAAATCACTTAGATAACTCTCTTGAGCTGCAAGGCTCTTCACTGGCAGGAACGAGGAGGCTCCTCGCACTTCGCAGTGTGAGCGGCCACAGGTTGGTGTCGGGTCTTGGCGGGCAGGGCTGATTCTTGGAGCACCTGATGCCACCGGGACAGTGGCGGGGAAGAGAGGCTGGTGTGAAACCAGCAGCCTGCCGGCGTCTGTCAGACAAAACAGCCGGGTTCGGGGCCTTCTGGAGGCAAGTGGTGAACGGTTTGCATGGGTGTTGCCAGTTCTGTTACTTGCTTTTGGCTGTGTAGGAAGTAATCTCCAGAGGCAGATGTGTCAATATGTTGTCACTTTACTGGCGCTGTGCTGCTAAGAGGCAGGATAAAAATACTGAAACCGGCAGGACTTCAAAGCAACTCGGTTGCTATATTCATATATGTTTTTATGGGCTTTGTATCAGAGGGAAGCTGTGCCATAGCTTTGCACACGTCAGTGTAACTGCAAGTGGGGCTGCTAAACCTTGGTGGAAGAGACAGGGTTTTGACACAAGAGATGCTAAAGTAATCCCCAACAGAGAGGTCATTTCACATGGCTGGAGCACACTCACTCCCTTCCCTCCCTATTGCCTTTGAGGCATTAATGGACTTTTTTTTCCTGAAACTGGAACAGAGAATTTCAGAGAAAACGGCTCTGGACCTCCTGAGATTTTACACAGCTTTCAATGTAATAACATTTACTTTAAAAACATCGTGAACTCTCTAAGGTGAGCATTTTCCACAATTAGTAACCAGTTTTTCAATTCCCCTCCCAGTTTTTGAGAGATCTAGGAAGGGAGACTGTGACTACAAAATTAAATGGAATAAACACAAAGGGAAAAGTCTATTATGTACTATAAAAACTCTGTAAATATGCCTTAGGAAGATAAGCCTTAACTACTTAAGTCAACGGGCAACACCAAACCCATCCTCTGACCACCCAGTTAACCTTGAGCCAGGTCACAGTAGGACATTAAGAAATGAATGGAGCTCTTACAGATCTCTGACGTTTTGTACTTATTCACTTACTAAATGCAAGCATTTACTATATCATCGTATCTTCTGAGTCACATTCGATTACTGATCTCAGCCTTCCTCTACACATTCAGAAAGTTCCCAGATGTATTGTTCTCCTTTCAACACATCAAAACCCTGTTCCTTGACCTTGCATCTGTTAAACCACCCATCCTGTGCCACGGCCATCTCCTGCTTTAGCTTTTGCATGGCTTCCCTCCCTCTCTCTCCCATCTAAGCCTTTGCTCTACCCATTGTAGCCTCTTCATCGACATATGGATGGACTTTTTACACCAAGATAGTGAGGATATATTTTATCATTGCTAACACCACCATCTTTGTTCCTTCCAACCTTTGTTCTGCCTAAATATGTGCCTGCCTTTTGTCTTTCTTCTGGCATAACCTTTCTGCTTTCTCCCCGTATAACTCTCTGTGGTAGAGCTTCATCCAGTCTCTCTTCATCTCCCTCCTTAAAATGAGTTACCTTGCTGTCATTCCCGGATGAGTTCTGCTGTTAGATGCCTTTAGTCAGTCAGATTTCACTGTATCCATATTTGCCTTTGCCTGCCACTGAAGGCTCCGTAGGTCTTATCTGTTTGGTTGGTCAGGCAGGGAACCTCGAGACAAAATCAAGTTTCATTGTCTGGATTATCATTTCCTGAAAAACAAGGGAGAAGTTCATCTTGAGGGCTGCTCTCCAGATGTGCACAAGGGACACTAAATCCCCCTTACACAAAACATCCTTAATTGCCTCCGACTTGCAGGGCAGACCCACCAGCACAGCATGGCTCTACAATCAGACACTGAAAGTCTATTTGTCTGCAATGTGAGTAAAATAGACGGTGCTACAGTTTCCCAGCATGATTTCCCTCAAGTCAAGTGCTGCAGGGTGGTATTTCCCAGCCTGTCCCGCTCTGTGGTCCACAGTTCTGTGGGGCAGAAGGCAGCCAGTGCCCACTAGAGCCTTCAAGGACAAGCTGAGCAGCACCGATTTAGCAGGCGCTCTGCCTTGTTCCTGAAGGAGCCTTTCCACCCCAGCACATCCTCAGTGCCTTCGCTGATGGTTAATACAGGCAGAAATGCTTAGGAAACCCGTATAAGCCGAGCTGACGCAGAGAGAAATTATGTAAGTAGCAGCAGCATGCAAAACTTCAGGGGAAGTCTCTCTCTGGGTATCGTGTAGGAAGCTAGCAGAAGACTGTATCGTTTCCTAGGCACAGCTCCCCTTACTGCTATTTTAATCCAGTGTTGAACATCTTTCCAGGGAGAACAGATAACAGGATACATTTGCAGACTGGAGTAATGCTGTCCTTGTGCCTGCTCTTCTCCCTGGTGGATTTCTGATACAGATTTAACAGTGACTGGTACAGAGCCTCATGAAAACTGGCCCAGAGATTTAAGAGGCAGTCACAGCTACGTTTCTGCCCTCCCTAGACAAACTCCTGACCCAGTTGTCTCTAACCGTACAACACGCAGAATTTGTTTCTGAGATCCGACATCACAAATGCATGTGACCAGATAGATTTAAATCTCTGATGATTCAGACAAATTATGTAGGGTTTTTTAAACAGCCAGGACTTTTATCTTTGTTCATTCATGTTATGCTTTGCAATTCAAGTATAAACCAAGGGAGATAATTTAGATTGTGCTTCTTCAGTTTGAGTGAGGGGAGCGACTCAGAGCAGGCTCATGCTGTCTTGTCTTTTCGTATGTTCTAAATTACATTTTATATTCAAGCAATTAATATTCTGGGTCCTGCAGATGGCTCAGAAATAGAAATGGGACAGTTGGAAAGCCCTAGGAGAGACAAAGGATCTTCTAAAGATGGCCAAGCCTACCTTTTTCATGCTGTCATTTGAAATCACCGGTGGGGGAAAATTCCGTGCAGTTTTACCCACTTGTGAAGTTAGTAATTGAAACTCAGGAGACGCTTCATGTTATTGATGTGCCGCAAGAAGGTGTGAATTCAGAGCCTTTTCCTTAGTGCTGTGGCATTCAGGTACCTTTGGAATATTAATTCTGTATCTTCAGTCGTCACAGAAACTGAGAAGGAAAACAAAAGGAAGTTAAGCGACATGTCTAAGGCTAACCCCAAAGTCAAGACGAGAACAAAGAAGTAGCTGTAGCTTGTTCTCCCAGTGCTTCACCTGTCCAGTGCCTTAACAGCAGCTCAGTGATTCCTCCTTAAGGATTTTCATGGCCATCAAATTGCACCTTTGCAGTAGTTTCAATGTCTGCAGTATTACTTTTCCAGACCCACACTTCCACATACCTATCAGTCTGTATAATTTGTAACATCATAGTATTGCAGAGAAAATCAAGGTTTAAAAGAAACATCTGAAAGCCTGGCAAATAACAGTCTGCTTCTTTTATGTCTTCAGTTGATCATGGATTTATCTGACTGTGTTACTAAATGTTTTGTGAGAGCAGACTGTTGACAACACTTTAGATTTAGAAATGGCCTTCCATTTATAGTTTCCACTTCTGGCTCAAATAGGAATGCCATAATTGGCTTTTTCACTCAGCACGGAAGGGATTACTCTCACCTCTACTGAGCTGAACTAATGCAAAACAAATATCCTTTCCCACAATACATTCCTACTGATTTGTTCAACTGTAACCTCGTTACAACCTGTTACGTTGCCTCCTAGGGCTCTTGTATCAGGAATATCGAGATAAATCTACGCGCCAGGAGATTGAAACCAGACGACTGCAGGATTCACAGACAGAACCTGAGGAGAGCTCACCCAGCGAGGAAACCACCCCATCTGAAGCAGAACCTGCAAGTACACCTGAAAACAAAGCTCCACCGCAAATCAGTTTGCTGAGGAACTCCAACTCCAGGTTCAACTTATGGCAGGATCTTCCTGAGATCCGGAGCAGTGGTGTCCTCAGCATCCTCCAGCCAGACGAGATCAAGCTGCAGGAGGTAATGGGGGAAGGTGAAGTGTTTGTTAACTGGGTTGCTGCTTAGAAGAGTGAGAGTGAATTAAGTGAAGTGATCAAGATTTTAAAATGAGAAGCTTAGTAACAGTCACAGACAAGCCTTGCCCTGCCAAGTACTTTTTTGTGTTGCACTGTCTAGTACCACTCACTCTTTTTTTGAATCCACAGATGTTATTCTGTATGCTATTGCTGCTGGACATTTCTGTAGTAAAAAAGAACTTTTCTTCCCTTTTCTGATTCAGCGTTAGGAGCAATTTACAAAGGAAGAGGGATAACGAAGAGGCTCTTGCAATAGAACTTTTGGTTCCCGATGCATGTTAGTCATCTTCTGAAGTTACTAGCAGGATACATACTTTCCCTCAGAAATTTTTGAAGAATTCAACCGTTAATTGTAATCTGTTTTAAATATGGCATTAATAGAAAGGGGAGAGATGGAGATTGATAAACTTCCTCATTTTTAAATGTTGTTACTTGGAGTATTACGCAAAATGGTAAAAAATATGACAGGTATATTTGCATTTTAGATGTACAGTGCGGTGACATCACTGTTTACGAGTCATATGCTGTTAATTTATAGAGCTGCATCAAAGAGTGAAAGGAGTAGGAAGGGGTAGCTGCCACAATTAATCAAAAAATCAGTCACATAACAATTTACAACTGGTTACTGTTTTGGATAGCGTGGGGAGCATGAGTGCTCTTTGTGAGCGCACTGCACTGCATTCGCAGCCAGCAGTGGGGATGAGCAAGCCTTGCTTCGTGTGTGGCGTGCATTGCGACGACGGGCCCCTCGCTTCTGTGAGCCCTGCCATGCTCCTGCACCATGACTGCTGCTGCTGAGACCGCTGTGGCGCTGTCTCTGTTCAGCCCTGGCTCGTGAGATCGTACCCAAAGTGCTGAAGAACATCTCAGGGTGTGAGCAGTTGCCCCGGAGTTCATTTAGATTGGCACAACCAACGTTTGTGAATCCCTTGTCTGTATGAGTGCCGCCCTAATCCTGGCCAAGGCTGTAACTTCGTTGTCACACTGGAAAGCCTCCTGGTGTGAACTGCAGGGGTGTGACGGGCAGAACTGTGTTCCTCACAGCCATGGTGGAAGGGACCGATATTTATACAGGGTAGCCCGGGCTGGCAGCACAGGCTGTTGATGTGTCAGGGTTATGGCTGAAGGTCACTAAAATGATTTGTTCATTTTCCATGTTTTTCTTCTGTGCTCGTTATTTCCATATCAGATTTGTTCTGTTTACCTGGCAAAACAGGGTACTTCTAACTGCCAGCATTACAAACACGATCTGGCATCCAAAAATTTACAAGCTTTTAATCTTTTTTCTGTTTCAAAATGGAGAGTCTTTTACAGAGAAACATTCACTTAAAAGTTTGCATTATAGATTTCAAAAAAACTGCCATTTCTGTTGAGTTACATTCATTATCTGCAGGTGTTTTAAGGAAGAAAATCTCTTTGCTGCTAAAAATTAACTGTGCTCAATTTTCTTCTCCCTGCTTAAATAACAACGAAAGTAAAGCAGATGGAGATGGGACAGTGCTGCTTAAAGAAGTGCTGCGCTTTCCCCTGATGTTAGTTTATCAGACCTGAAATTTTCTTCCTGTTTGTTCTGGGATTAGCACAGTAAGAGATTATAAAATTACCCAAAGCCAGAAAGCTGTGAAATTGGCTGAACATTGAATAGATAAAGTGGAGAATTTGCTTTGTGAGGAGAGTCAGGGACAGAAAACAAGGAGGGCTGGAGAAATCACTGAGGCAATGAGAGAGATGATGTTGAATTCAGCCTCACTATAAGCGAGCACTGCTGGAACTGTACTCGCATTGGGTATGACTTGGGGGTGTGAGCTGTGCTAGATGGCTTGACTAAGTGAATGTTAAGTGTTCAGCTTCATGAAGGAGGATTGGAGGAATTTATCTGAAGTACAGGGCAGCAGAAACTCTGAAGTTTATGTCTTATGTGCAAAATTGTACCTTTCTGACCCATTTTATCTTCAAAGCTGTGACAAACACAGGGACTAGAAGAGCTTGCAGCTCTTCAGCCAGGAAAGAGAGAACAAGAGTATTACTTACACTACAGAGAGAAAAGTTGAAAGTTGAAGCAAACACCCCTGTACACAGCTGAAGAAGGGAACACCAGCATAGCTGTGAGGAAGCAGGGTTTAAACAGAAGAAAAGTTGCTCATCTGCAGTAATCTGCAAAATGAGAGAGACAAGAACGAGAGGGAGAATCTGATCTTCATTACTGGCAATGACAGAAAATGATTAAGCAGGTTATCAGTACAAGATAAAAACCAAGAAACAGGTGTTTTTCAAGCATCAAAACAAGAAGCTTGACTGGAACAGGAATGGATGCTTGTGAAGTGTCATGGAAGGCAATTTGTCATTGTCCCCGTTGGAAAAAGTAATCCAGAACATGAAGTTTGAGGAAGGAAAAAAACCCTAAACAGCCTCCACATCTACCCCCTCAGCAATATCAACAAAAAAAAAAAGTTGCAGCATGGCCCATTGGCCTTGGGAACTTAAACAAGATTCAGACAGCAATGGCCTCTGCCACACCAGCCCTTTTATTCTGAAGCAAATGTGATGGGAGTAACATGTAAATCAACAACTGAAAGTGTCACAAAAACCATGGGTGCAAATGCAGAAGAAAGAAGAACAAAAAAAGCAAAAGACCTGTTACAGATCACAGAGGTCAAGGAGATATGAAAATTATGTGCTACTGGAATAATTATCAGAAATTCCTAAATTATTGATATTCTAGTTTTAATTATCCAGGCATCTGTTGAACATCAAATACAGCAAAACATGAATTGCTAAGGGCTTTCTTTTAACTATGCAGAAAATGCAATGATGCAAGAAGAACAAGCCAAAAGAAATGATTTTTAGGTTCTGACATGGAGTCAATGTGGAGGAAATGACAGGCAGCATGTGTGTAGCAGGTGGAACAAGTGACTAAACAGAAAACACACTCTCAGTATTACATGTGGTTTAGGTTAAAACAAATTCTGTCACCAAGGTACTAGGCTCTGAAGAGACAGACATCCAGAGATGAGACAAAACAACACTTAACTAATGAAACCTCTTTGTGGAGGGACTCCAGTTAATTCCTCTTTCCCAGTTAAGTTCTCTACCTTTCAGTTTGTCGTTGTTTTATTACTGTATGGTTTCTTCATTTGTCCTGTTCTGCTTGCTAAGTGTATTAGCTTCCCTATGCCTTGTTCATTTTCTGTGGTGTAGGAGATTCCAAGCTGAGTGGAAGTTGCCAATAAAAATAGTTTCGCAAAGTATTCTCAATCTTTGAACTGAACCCTCTTTGCTGAGATGTATGAGCTTTGATAAAGTTTTTGCCAGGGATTGCTTGGATTCAGGTCACTTTGGTGTTAGAAAAAGGGGCAGAGACAGACTAATCTGCACCATGTGTTCAGGTGTGAATTTACATCAGAGAGCTGCTGCTCTGGAAGTTTTTTTCGCTCACCAAAAGAGGGACTTGAACCTGGTTGTGTACACTGGTGACACAGCGCCTCTGTGAAAAGTGTGTTTGACAGATCTGCAGTCTTTCTTCCTTGTTCCATTTTCACAAAAATGCCCAAATTCCTTTTCTCCTTTGAGCAAACTTTAGGTTAAAAACCTCTAAATTCCCTGTACAATGGAGCTGCCCTCCTCCAGGGAGTTCTTGTGCTCAACTTTGTGCTTCTAGCAGGTGAATGTCACCGGCCCTGTGATGGCAGCCAGGTCTGAGAGCGAGTCACAGCCGTGGCATCAGCTCAGAACAACATCCCCCCCAGGCTCCTCCTTCTTACCTGCTGGTTTACATGAAGAGCAGGGTCATTGGGAACAGATATTTCTAATCTATGCAGCAAAACTTCATATTGTCTTAATAGAAATTTAGCCTGTAGAATTACTTACTCTCATCTTTGGTGTCTCTTAGTTCCTCTCCTTGTTTGTCTTCTACATTTCCTTCTTCCTTAGGCTTCACTTCTCTTTTCCTTTCCCAGCCTCTCTGCCAAATCATAAGCAATGAAAATGATTAGTGTAGCTCTTACATGACTATGAGATTTCATGAAGTTAATGTCCCAGAGGACTGATGGAACAGTGTTGGTCATGTTTCCAAGAGATCATTTCTGACTATTTGTAGACTCAGGAAGATAATATATTATGTCAATTGACATTTAGTTAAGTTTGGTTTTCTGGTTATTTTTTTCAGTTCTGAGACCAAAAGCTCCTGCTCTTTTTCCTAGTGACTGCTTAGAGCTAGCAGAGTTCAGTTATGCCACAGAGATCACATCTTTACACCATGTGGCTGGATGTTTGGTACCAGTTGAGGAGGTTTGCAGCTCATACTTACCATTCAAAAGGGTAACAGCAGTCTGGCCTCCTTGGAGTAGGTACTTGGGGTCTGCAGAGGACTAGCTGGATCTCCAAAGTAAATTAAAAAACTTGTGCCATACACATGCTGCGAACACTTCCAGAAGCTCGTCTTGATCAGCGGAAATGTTCTTTTCTTTCTTAGCATCTCCTTTAAATCAGAACCCTGTGCGTTGATATTTTCAATATGGATTTAATTATTTCCTTGGTCTGGCTAGTGTATTGAACAGCAAATGTATACAAATTAATTTTGACCAAACACAGGCAGAGGAGCTTCCACAAATCAGGGAGCAACCTTCTAGATTAGGCAAGTTGCCTGAGGCTCTACGGGCTGTGGTAGAGTGGCAGATATTGATCTTGGCTCTTACGGCCATCCTGCAATCAAAGACTTGGCAGAAAAAGATATCCTGGCTTGGAGTGTCTGGAAAACTGCAGTGCAAAATGACCGGTGGTATCAATCCCCAGGATATCTGGAAGGGACAGGTTGTCCCAGCACATCATGTCTTATTCTTTGCTGTATCTTTACCTATTTCCTCTTCTTTCATTTATCAAACAAAAAGCTGCCGTTAAAGCTGTGAGAGGTGCATTTAGGACCTAGGCAGTCAGGCAGAGACTGGGAAGGGTTCTCTCGTGGGTTCACTGGGTACCCTGGTGAAGCTGCTGGGAGAAGCTGAGCTGATACTCCTCCGCTTTTCTCATTGGAAATCTGGCCTTGAGAAAAATAAAATGTCTTCGTATTCCTTAAATGCCAGTCTTTCCACTGCTCAAGTACGTTCATTTTTACCCATACTCTTTGCTCTGTCTCCCTTCTGGGGACTGTGCCTCCCTCTCTGGCTCAGGAAAGGACTACCTGTTTGATTGAACTAGCCACTGGGAACATTTCCTAGGTTACCAAACCCACAAATAATGAAAACATCGCTTCAGCTGGTATTTTAGCAGCTCTGGATTGGGTAACTGGCCCTCCTTGCTGTGTCCATCCTCCCACATTGCGGACTGCAGCATAGCATCAGGAATATAACCCAGGTCTCTGTGCCTCAGGGTCCTTCTGTGATGCATAACGATACTTCCAGGAAAAGCCTTAAAACTGATGACGTTTCAAATAATTTCTTTAGAAAAAAACCCAAATCAAAACAAACACAAACCAGCCCACTAAAAAAACAGAATAACCGAGGCACAACACCACAACACAACCTCCCATCTGATTTCGAAGATATTTTTCCATATGCACAACACAAAAATTACTGTCTGTATCTGCTGCTCCCCTGGATCTCCTCAACGCTGGCGGGACCCATACATACTCTGAACGCCAGTGGGGCTCAGGGGCTTGGAGTAGCTCTGCCTGGCCATCTCCCAGCCTCAGCAGGGTGCAGCAGAGGAGCTGTGGGCAGCGGGAAAGCTTGGACTCAAGGGTTAGCGCAGGCTTAGGTTCAAGGAAGTGAGGCTTTCACTGAGTTACCAAAAGATTCCTCTTGCAGTAACAGCAGCATGGTCCAGCCCCAGGACAAGGATCTTCAAGAGGTGCCTGAAAGATCTAATGATATTTCACCATGTTAAAGCCTTTGTGAGAATCTTCAATTAATCTTGCTTCAACTAACGGATTCAGTAGTTCTGTAAATAATTACCTTTTCTATCTACTGCTGAATAAAGACAACAAACACTTACCTGGCAAGTGAGCTCTCTGTGGTAATAGTGGACTGTCCCTGTGGCACTTGCTGTGGGCAGAAGTTATATCTTTGTATCATTAACTTGTGATTTATCTCTGAACCAAACCGTCAGCTTGTCTTTCTGCTTCCCAAAACCACATGTCTAGCCTGAGGAAGCCAGGCTTTGCACCAAAGACTTCTTTAGTATCAGGAGATGCAAGTGCTGGAGTTTGGAGATTATTTATGGCTTGCGGTAATAATGAAGGGCCACGTAATAATTAAGTGTCTTTTCCTAGTCCTTGGTGACTTGGATCAGAAAAGCATATGGCTGAGATTGACCAGGGAGCCTCACTTGGACAGAAACAACTGTATTTCTTTTGGCTCAGGGGACACATGGAGGCTTGGAGCACCACAGCTGTGTATTTCTGTTAGCTCTGTCCTGAGGCGCACATGTTGTACGCTGGGACGGAGCATCTGGGTGCTGTACAGCCCAGCCCCTACACCGTGGCTTTGCTAAAGCAAGCGTGCCGAGGGGGCAAGGAGACCCTCTTGGGTAGCACAATGAGCCACAATGAGCAGAGCAAGGAGCCAATGCTGTCGTGATCAGAAGGGGATGGGAGGGTGCGTGGAGGCTGCCAAGGGGAACGCAAAATCGGACTGCTTATACACAATGAGAAAAAGAGAGAATTCTGCTGGAGAGATTTAGTGGAAAGAAATGTGGTCAAAACAGCTTAGGAGAGAGACAGAAGAAGTCAGAGCTGATGGCTGAGGGAGGAAATCTTCTCCATCCAAGTCACTATCCTGTGTAACACTATGGGCTTACCTCTCCCCATACTCTGGGCCTGTAGGCTGGGTGCAAGGTGTGTGATGGTGTGCAGCACAGATGTTCTCGTTAACACGGTGTGTGCTTCTCTTCAGAAGTAGAAGGCACCTGCTGATTTCCTTCTTTGGGTTTCTCTCCCAGGCCATGTTTGAGCTGGTTACTTCTGAAGCCTCGTATTACAAGAGTCTGAACCTGCTGGTGTCTCACTTCATGGAGAATGAACGCCTGAAGAAGATCTTACACCAGTCGGAGGCACACATCCTCTTCTCCAACGTCCTGGATGTCATGGCTGTCAGTGAGCGGTAAGACCACTGCTGCTGGATTTTTGTCCATCGGAATGGCGTCACTTTAGCTAACCTCATTTGTGGAGGGGTGGAGGAGCTGACTGGGGCAGTCTGTTACCCACTGTCTTTTCAAAGAGCCTGTGGACACTTCCATGGCTTTGAATCCCAAGGGATTCTTCAGGTCACAATTAACGAATGCTGGGTTTCTCATCTAGCTTCCTGCTGGACCTCGAGCAGCGGGTGGAGGAGAATATTGTGATCTCGGATGTGTGCGATATTGTCTACCAGCACACAGTTAACCACTTCTCTGTGTACATCACCTACGTCTCCAACCAGACCTACCAGGAGAGAGCTTACAAGCAGCTTCTGTGAGTTCCAGTACTTGATGTTAAATTATTTTGCAGAATTGTCTAGGCCACGGATTTCACTGTAACTTTGATATTTGTGAGAAAGGACTAGATAGTACAGAAACAGGATTTTCCACTTCACTGATTTTTCATTGCACCTATAAAAAGAGGACACGATTAAAAAGGCTTTATAATGAGTGGGGTGATACAGTATGCAGGCAACTTACCAAGTAAGTTCAGAGCCAGCAGTTCCCAACTGTAGGAAATATTTATGGTGTACACAGGGACACACACCTGTGAAATGTATGTACTTTTAAGCTGCAAGTAGAGGCAAGAGATTAAAGGGCCAAGAATATAATCTCTGATGACAAGAACAGCCATTGCTTTTCCTGAGTTTCTCAGCAAGGCATTTAATTTTCCCAAAGTTGAGAATTATTTTTTTTTTCAGAACAACACAGAAAAGAATAAAACTATTTTCTTCACATTCTGATATTACACACACAGACCATACCCAGGCCTAAGGATATAATCCGAGATATTTTTGCAGTATTTTTCAAGTTTAGCACATCTTTTGGTCCGGTAGGAATTCTATTACGCCAGCTCAAAACAAAGAGTGCCCTACAAGCTTGTCTTTGAGCAGGAGAATTAATTTTTCTTTAGTTACAATGTCCTGGATTCTTTCAGGACAGCCCACTGCACATGCTGCACTGTAATTCCTCCTCATAGCAGCAGCTGGTTCAGGGGAGTGTAATAAGTGCTATTCCTCTCCTTTCTCTGCTCTCCAGCTTTTGAGGCAAAACCCCTGCACTTACAGGGGCCTCTGCTGAGCTTGGCCAGCTGTTCTCTCATAAAGGATGGTACTGCAGGGTTTTCTTCAGTCAGAGGTGAGCAATACAGCTGCAGAGTATCAACAGATTGCCTGGAGCCATTAGTTAACCACTTAGAAATGAAGCAGCAATAGAATCACAGAATCATAGACTGGCCTAGGCTGGAAGGGACCTTAGAGATCATCTAGTCCAACCTCCCTGTCACGGGCAGGGACGCCTCTTGACTAGATCAGGCTACTCAAGGCTCCATAGCGGGAATCGAACCCGTGACCTCGGTGTTGACCCCCCCGGGGGGGGGCCCAGCCACAACATCTCTGGGCAATTTATTCCAAAGTATTGCCGCCCTCGTACTGAAGAATTTCTTCCTAAGGTCCAATCTAAATCTAAATCTATTCTCCTTCAACTTAAACCCATTTCCCCTTGTCCTATCAGTAAACTCTCTGGATTGCTTCAGCTTGAAAAGGACCTGTTGGAGATAGAGATATTCCTAGACACGAATTTAGAATCACAGAATCATAGAATGGCCTAGGCAGCATGTTTTTCATATGCAGGAGAACATAAAACAAACTGGAAAGAACAGACTCCTTTCCATAGGCTCCTAGCTAGCACAAGAGTTTGGCAGCATTTGGCTGAACTCGAAGCCTGAGGTGTGTTGCAGTTCCCCCCCTTTGGCCGTTCCTCAGATGCACGCAGCCCCTTCTGCTGTGGCTCTGGTGAGTCACACCAGCACACGAGTACGGGCTGCAGCAGGGAGGAACTCTTAGAACAGCTTCTCTTGGACGTCGCGAGTCACACGCAGTAAAGGCAGGTTTTGCGCAGTTAGCAATCTCTTCGCATCTACGATGTTTCTGCTAGCCAGGACTCCAGCAGCGCAAGTCTTCCGTAGGGCCCTGCAGTCACCAGGCAGCATTGTCTTTGCTGATGGCAGCTGGGGCTCGCGAGGCCGCTCTGTGTGGCTGTGTCCACAGCCCAGCCAGGCCCTCACCTCCTGCCAACACCATCAAGGAAGGCCTGGGCATGGCCCATGCCCTTCTCAGGCCAGATAATGATTTCCACCCTCTGGCTTAGCAGCAAGGAGTAACCAAGCTTGAGCTGTTTTGTGGCTTGTCTTGTTCTTATGGCTGTGCGAATTTCACCTTGTCACAGAGTTTCAACTGTGTAAAAATATATAATTATGCCTCTGACTCATCTACTTGGACACACACCCCATTCACATACACCTACGCACGCAGCGTATGCTGCTGAGCTAGATGTGCTAACACATGTGAGCACTACCATGGCTTTTGCATTAAAAGTCTATTTTTTCCCTCCCCCAACACTATAAATAGTTCTAAACTAAAATACATCTAGAAGTGTTCAGTCCCCTCCTCCCTTCTTCTCTCTTATTAGGAGAGGTCAGACAGATGCTGTCTCTTTGGGTCACCAGCCATGTACCAGTCTCAGGCAGGGTAGCACTCAAAGCACTCACCTCCTCTCGTTCTCTCCTCTCAGGCAGGACAAGCCAGCTTTCCGGGAAGTGATCTCACAGCTGGAGCTGGATCCCAAGTGCAAAGGCTTGTCCTTTTCTTCCTTCCTGATTCTGCCATTTCAAAGGATCACTCGGCTCAAGCTGCTGGTGCAGGTAGAGTTTTGCTCTTCTCTCTCCTGGAGGTCTTCTGGATCACCTGTGGGATTTTCCTTTTGTGAGTGAGGCTTAGGTACACCCACGATCAACTCTAGAGTTGCCTGAAGCCTCTCTACAGAGTCAGACATTCTCAAAAACTATAAACACCTTCCTATTTTGGTCACTCAGAGACCATCCCCAAATTAGTACTGAATTCACCAGATAGCTTTGTCTGAGCAGAAGAGTTGAGGAGGAGCTTTGCTGAGCTGCTGGAAGGCACAGCAACAGTCCATTTACCCAGGTGCCTGATGGCTAGGGTGCTGACTCCCAGATGTACAGTGCAGCAGGACATGGAAATGCTCTGTGTGCGATACCCTACATCATGGTGGCTTGGACCACACTGTCAGCTGTCTTCCTCCTGTGCCCTGCCAGCTTGTCTAAACACCGCTGAAGGGCATCCTTCTAGGGAAGAGGAAACAGCTCAGTCCTAAATTGTCTTACCCACTGGCATTACGTAGCAGTGTCTGTTAGTGCCAGATCTAGCTACTTTTATTTATTCATCAACTTTTTACAAAGTAGGAGTCTCCCTGCTGTATTTCTTTTAGATATAAGGTCAGAGGAGAACAGGTTTTCATGAGAAAGAGGAATGAAGAGGTGAGAGTCACTGTATGCCATCACCTATCCTGGAATTAGGCTGATGGCCAGGAATAACTCAGAGGCTAGCAAAGATCTTTCTCTGCTGTCAGATTGGGATTGGAGTTAACACAGCCTTTTGTCCCGTACAGAATATTTTGAAGAAAGTGGAAGAGAAGTCTGACAGAGAAAACACCGCCCTGGACGCACATAAAGAACTGGAAACAGTAAGTTGGAATGAGCTGACTGAAGGTTAACTAGGAATGAGCTAACTGAAGACTAACACATCATGTTTCCTTCCTTCTCCACCCCCCCCAGAAAAAAAGACCTACAAACTACATTCCCTCTTGGAGCTGTCTCTTTGAATCCTGTCACTGTCAAGAGTAATTTTTTTTTTTCTTCCTTGCTCTCAAAGATGGACTAATCTAGCAGCCCTTAGATGTCAGAGATGAGGAATCCCTTGCTAACAACAGTGTCTGTTTCCACTGTAGGAAAGGGCAGAGAGGATGTTTTCCCTTGGGATCTTCAAGAATACAAATTGTTTTTGCAGAAACCTGAAGGTGACGGATCCCTCTGGGAGATGTAATTAGCTGCAACAGGCAGTACAGTACAACTGTGTCAGGTTTCCTCCAATACAGCACACTGCTGCCTCTGACCTAGAATAACAGTTTCTTAATGAAGTACTCGAGCCTGCTTTTAGCCCTCTTTCCTGGGGCTGGGACGTAGGTGTGGTGTTCAGTTGTGCTAGTTACTGCTGTGTACAAAACACCACGAGGGCACCGGGCTGTTCCTGACACCATTAGATAGGGTGATCCTACCTCCAGGCTACGTAACAGAATGGTCTGGATATAGCTGGAAGCTAAAGCAACTGGGACAGAATATTTGGACCTTTCTCCATCAGAAGCTCAGAACATCTCTTGAATCCTGCAGTTCTGTGTCGGTATTTGGAGATGAAAACTGTGCTAGAACATCAGCCTAAGGATACAGTTGCAGTTTCTGACTGAAATACTAGAACAAAATGGGCTCCTGCATTTGCCCTGAACTAGTCGAAGATGTATATACACTTTGGAGATCACTAGGGATAAAACCAGAGATTTTAGCAATGAAAAAAAAAAATCTGCATTAGTTAGTATTTAGAAAATCTCTCATGACACACCTGTTTTTCCATTGGTCAGAAAGCCTGAGGGAGGCTGTTCCTGTAGTATGCAGATACCTACAACTGGAAAAATGCTCCTTTTATATTCAGTCATCAATGCCTCACCTGATCAATTTTGTAAGTCCCTTTTCATGGTTCCTTACCTGTAAGTGGTTAAGTTCAGATGCCTAACGTCCATCTAGGTACAGACATCACAAGAGAGATTGTCGAGTGCTTATTTTGTCTGTAGGCATTTCATTTGAGAAGTAAGAGCTGATCGCAGTTTTAGTTACTGATATTTTGGTGGCTTTTGAGTAGCAGAAACAGAGCACAAGATGAAGCTTGTTCCCCAACATAATTTTTCTCCCTAGTCAGTTCTCGAGGGAGTTGCTCCGTATGAAACAGGCGGTGGCATCTAGGTTAAGGTCCCTGTAATAGGGTAGTGCCTGCACGTTGGTTGTGGTTTTTCAGTTAAAAGTTTGTACGCAGAACACAGCTGAGCTCTGTATGATGAACGTCTCTTTCACTGGGACATTTCAGTGCCTTGGCATCTGGTGCTGCTTGGCGGAACCACAGCATTTGCATTTTTGAAATTAAGATCTTTGGCTTCATTCCCTTCTTGAAGATGATACTGTGCACGTACCTCATTTTAAGCGTTGGGGGCAAGGAAGATGAGATACATGGTGTGTCAGGATCTGGAGAATGGGCTGTTCCTTTTGCTCTGCAGCCAGGAGTGTTGCTCAGTACTGTTTGGTTCAGTAACTGAACGTAGCCATCTAACACATCGTCTGGTAGTCAGCTTCCGGCTATAATGTCTTCTAGGTGTTTGGGGGGTTTTGGGTGTTTTTTCCAATATAGTTTTTGGTCTTTTTTTTTTTTTCTTTCTTTTTTGGGGTGAATACAGTGCTGATAGAAGAGCTTGGCTTGGTCAGTTCCTGTCACAGCAGTGCACTCACCCTGTCACAGTCAGGCCTTTCTGTGCTCTCCGTCATCCCTTACCTGCTTAAGGCTGGCGGAGGCAAATCTTTATACTCTCTTTTTCCCAGGTGGTGAAAGCATGTAACGAAGGCGTCAGGAAGATGAGCCGAACAGAGCAGATGATCAGCATCCAGAAGAAACTGGAATTCAAGATCAAGGTATGAGCACAGGCTGATCACTCTCTGCATCGTGGTGTTGTGCACACACATGTGGCAGCAGTAACCTAATTGCACTCCTCCTAGTGAGTGTTCACTGGCGGCCTGGTCTATGCTGTCCCCCTCCAAAGCCTTTGCAGGGGATGCTGCTGCCGCAGGCACAGCGTTCATGCGTGTGTGGTCCCCGCACACATGCGCTGCAGAGGCCAGGGCAGCACTAAGGCTGGCGCGTTGTGCTTGTACACAGATGTGACACGCTGGCATCAAACCCCTTGTGCACGGTGAGTGGCTCCTGCTCCAGCACTGAGTTCTGCCTCTTCCCTCTCACCTCTCTTCGAAATGCAGGGCAGCTCTCAGCTGTTATTTTACATTACAAATGATGTTAAAAGAAGATGAAGGCTACAAAGTAAACCTTAAACCTGGAAAATACCAAAATGAAGACCTCTCCCACCATTTTAATTCATCCCTGCATTTATGCATTATGCAGCCTCTAGTTACCTGCCGATGATCCATTTCGGCTCCACTCAGGGAACGACTGAGTCAATACTTGGGAGTGTCCGACCAAATCTCATTTAATGTATGCCATGAAACTACAGTGCTGAGTAAAAAGTGGCCGATCCTTTTCTCGAGTGCTGTGGAGATGCTTCTCAACTCTCTCTGCTTCACAGACTTTAAGGAGCATAGTTAACTTCCCAGCAATCTTTTTATGTATCTGAGTAACCCATTCTAAAAAATTTGAGACCATTTTTTGGAAAGCCACACGGGACATCTAAGAATTTGATTTTTCCCGAGCACTTTACCAGTGTGTCAGAGCTAGGCCACAGTCCGCAGGACCGCACTAGATTGAAGTAACTACAAGGCTGCCTTCACCGCTTCTAGAGCTGAGGCTGTAATGACAGGCAGGAGCTGGTTCAGCCCTGCCTTGGGCACTGGCACAGGCAAGGCTCCTCTGGTAAAAGAGTGCAGAAAGACTGTGCCACTGCAAATGATGAACACAGGGAGGGAGTGAAGCTGGAAGGAGCAGCAGTTACACAGATATTTTCCAATATTTCAGTCATTTCACTGGAAGCATAGTAGTTTTTTCTTATGTAAGACGTACTTTGTTATGAGTTTCCTGTTTTTAACACAATGTGCAGTAAAACTCTAGCAGAAGTGCTGTTGTGGCTGCGTAGACAGTATCTCCTCCTGGCTGGGACAGACCCAACCAGTGAGAACCTGTTTGGTTTTTTGTAGCTAAAAAGCTGATTACACAGTTTTGAAAGTGAGTCTTCCTGGCCAGAAAGGCTCAGCCCGGGTGATGAGACATGGGATCTCTCAGAGACAGACCAGGCTGTGCAGGGCGTAGCCTCGTAATTAAATCCAGCACCTGGCACTCCAGCATCACCATCCTTGAGTGTTTGTTGATTCTTGGGCACGCTACCCTCTCTGTCCTGCTCTGCCCCATTCTCTGCAGTGCTTGTTGTGGTGGTGGGAGCTCACTACCCTTCCCTCTACATCTCCTGTTGCTTTCACCATCTTGACAGCATAAGCCCATCCGTTTTTGTGGCTTTCCTGATCTTTGCTGTCTTTCCCTCATTTCTAGTCTGTGCCCATCATCTCTCACTCTCGCTGGCTCCTGAAGCAGGGGGAATTGCAGCAAATGAATGGTCCAAAGACATCACGAACACTTCGCACCAAGAAACTCTTCAGAGAAATCTACTTGTTCCTTTTCAATGATCTGCTAGTAATTTGCCGGCAAATTCCTGGGTGAGTGCACAATTCAGGTAGTATATATGGCACTTCATTAATCCAGTTTTCCCCAGATTTATCCAAGCTGCGATGCTGTGACCCTGTCCTGTTCCCTGGGCACAGGGAGGGCATCCTGGCCTGACCTGTACACTCCCACTCCAGCAGTCGCCTTGCTTTTGAGCGCAGTTGACTCTTCATGGGTGGTACAGCTCTCTCCAGCTGAAAATTTATGCCAAACAGGACTTGAACAAATTCCAGGCCAGGTCTCCCAGCAGGATAAGCAAGCACGTATCCACCAGTTTCTGCAGAGTGGTGATGAGTTATATCAACTGGTGGGCTGACCCAGGAGGCCTATCTTCCTGTCAAGAAGTCATTTTTGACTCATCACTGCCTAAAGAACGGCTCAGTTTTAGTCAGTTAAACTTCTAAGAAAGGAGGCTAGAAAATCTGAGAAGCAGAGAGGAGTATAAATTTAGGCCTGAGGGGAGCAGTTCTATTTGACATGGTGTAACCTGCCTCAGGAGGAGGAGTCGTCATCATGCGCAGGACTAGGTCTTGTGCAACTAGACACCAGTGAAATACAGCAGCAAAAACAGACGAGCCCCAGAGAACAGCACGTTCTTTGTAGCATTAACTAGACTCACCGGTAGAGAGCATCTCGCCAGTCCCAACGTTTCTAATAAACGTGTCGCCGCAGTGTCTGTATGGCTGGAAATATTTTGCTTCTGTGGCAGCTTGTATCCAGAAAACACAGAGGCATTTTACAAATGGGAATGAATTAAACCTCACAGTCCCCTTTTGGGAGCACCGTCTGTGTTTTGTGCATGGGGAGCTCGGAGAGAGCAAGAAACTTGTTCTAGGCCATGTGGGATGCCTGAGGCAGAGCAAAGAGAGGGTTTCTTGCTTTGCGGTGGGTTTTTGTAGCCACTGACTCATCCCTTCCCCAGCAGGATGTCTTTTTTTCCCTCCTGCCATGCAGCAGTTCCTGGTCTGTGTCCTCAGCACGCTTCTGGGTGGCTGAAGCCAAAGTCTTGTGGGATAACTGCAGTTTTTCCTAATCTCCCTAACTTCTCCCAGGGACAAGTACCAAGTGTTCGACTCGGCTCCCCGGGGGCTTCTTCGGGTAGAGGAGTTAGAAGACCAGGGGCAGAGTTTGGCCAACGTCTTCATCCTGAGGCTGCTGGAGAATGCAGATGACCGGGAGGCCAGCTACATGCTGAAAGCATCGTCCCAGTGAGTACAACAGTCACTCCACCAGTGCTCAGCGCTGCTCTCTCCCTAACCCCGTGCGGTGGGAGCCAGCTCTCCAGGCTTACCAGGGGCAGGCAGGCAGAAGTCCCCTGGCTGCAGCTGGGCTGGCCCTACACACCTCTCTGCCCAGCATCGCTTTCCCAAGGCTGCTTTCGGTCTGTCCTACGGAGAGGCACCAGTGAACTAGGCAGGTTTCTTGCCTGTACAGTGTATTTGTAGCATTGGACGGGCACTTTGCGTTCCGGGTCAGAGAGGTCAGAAATCAGCACTGGCACAGCAGCGCAACTGATTGACAGCCTGCAGCGTATTGAGAGAGCAAAAGCAAGGAGGTTGTGCCCTGCGCATGCTGCAGCACCTCAGCTGGCTCACTCGCAAAGATCGAGGCAGTGGCTGACCAGCCCGATGAAGCAAAGTGGCTCCTGTGCGCAGGCAAAGGTGAAGAGGCCTCTTCCTCAGCGCCTTCCACAGCCAGTGCCGATCTTGCACAGCCCTTCTGCTGCCCGGGGTCTCCTTGTCTCCCTGGATACAGGTTTTTTGGCACACTGATTTTTCACTTCAGGCTCCAACAAACTCAGACTGGGCAAATGATTCAGCGGCGCTAACACAAGCCCGATTGTTTCAGAGCTCAGGGCATGGCTTTCTCGTTGACCCAAGCCCACATCTTCTTGCCACAGCGGCTGTGCTATCGTAGGGGCGCATGTACCACCAGCTAAACAGCTACTAGAGATGATGCACACCCCCAGCTTGATGTTACTTTGCTGTCAGCAGGCCAGCATTTGAAATCCATATCCCTTAACGAACACCAGCCCCGGCTGGGACCACGTCCTGCTTCAGCCCTGGGGAGCTGCACCCTGACCCACCTCGGCACAGCACAGCACCGGCATCAGGAAGACAAGCCCCCAGCACAGCAAGCAACCGCACCTTCTCCCCAGACACGCGGCTGCAGCTTTGCTGCACTGAAAATAGAGATGTCAGTCACGTTATGCAGGGCAAACGCACATTTGACGTCCGTGAGACTTGGCTGTGAAGAGACTGACAAACCAGGCCAGGGTTTGCCCCAGCTCGGGAGAGGCAATTACAGTTCTGCGCTTCTGCGTCCTGTCCCATCTTCTAGATAGCCACAGGGAGGCTGGGATCCAGCACATGGCATGCGAGCGGGTCTTCTTCACTAGTATGTGATGTAGCAACTGCTGAAGGCTGCTGTTCCAGAGCTGCAGGGATGATCAGGGCAGTACCAGGCACAAATTGGAAAACTCAACAGTTAGAAGAGATAAATCGGTGCTAAAGAGAGACTGCTGCATCTGTCCCACCACCATTGCCCAGCTCTGAACCCATACGACGGTGATGACCTGCTTGGTGGCAGCTTGCAGCTAATGCCCTGGGTGGCTCTGCCAGGAGCCAGCAGCACAGGTGGACACAGCTGGTCTCAGGGGCAGGACTGGAGCTGGGGGCTGCAGGCAGGACCCAGATTGCTCTGTGAGGAGCTGTGTGCAAGGCCAGCCTGAAGCACTAAGTTTTCCCAGCCCTGCAGATGAGCCTGCCAGCACTTGTCCTTCACATCTCCATTTTAGGCCTTCTGTCCTCCCAGAAGGCACTGGTGGCTTTAGATGTGTGTCAAGTTCAGGATTTAAAGCTACCATCAGAGAAAGTAGAAAGTTCTTGCTCCCTTGGGGTCCTCCAGCCAGGAGCTGGAGCCTGTGAAGATGAACTTGCCCTGTTTCTAAGCAGGGCTGAAGCCTTGAGGGATCAACAGGCATGTGGCTTCTCCAGCACCCAAGATCTTCACCCTCCTGCAGGCCCAGGTTTTGCATAACAACGTGTTGGATCTGGTGACTACCATCAGAGAAAGTAGAAAGTTCTTGCTCCCTTGGGGTCCTCCAGCCAGGAGCTGGAGCCTGTGAAGATGAACTTGCCCTGTTTCTAAGCAGGGCTGAAGCCTTGAGGGATCAACAGGCATGTGGCTGCTCCAGCACCCAAGATCTTCACCCTCCTGCAGGCCCAGGTTTTGCATAACAACGTGTTGGATCTGGTGACGTGTTCATGCAGGTCTTGTCTCATCCACTGCCAAGCGAGCAGTACCCTCAGCGTGCCGCAGCATTCGCCTGCAAGGGAATTAATCAGCTCTGCCCTTTAAACATTCCTGCACAGCAGCTGTGGGAATAAGTAGTTCCTCTAACTGCTTTTCTCCAGAAAAAACAGCTCCTCTTGACCCAGCCAGGGGCTGCTTTTGCTGGTTAGGGCGCAGAGGATGCCAGGCCCCCATCCTGCTGCTCCTGGGGGTAGCCCAGCCGGGTGGCCTTGCGGCAAGCCTGGCCTGTGTGGCTGGACCCAGGGTTCTGTGGCGTGTGTGACATCCCAGCTGGGGTGTGCAATGGGCCTCAGCACCACCAGGGAGTCCAGGACCCTGGGGGCAGGCAGGAAGGGGCTGTGAGAGGAGAAATTAGGAGCCCAGGGCTGGCTGGGCAGGAGAGCTGGGCTCCCTGTGACCGTCTCATGCTCACAGCCTCCGTTTGTCTCCCCTATCCAGGAGTGAAATGAAGCGCTGGATGATTTCACTGGCTCCGAACCGGAGAACCAAGTTCGTTTCATTTACATCCAGACTTGTTGGTAAGAGACACAGCATGAGAGCCAGGAGCTCTTCACCCCTACTCCTTGTTCTGTCCTTATCTCAGTCAAGCTCCAGGCCTGGAGCGTCTGCTGAAGCTGAACCCTCTCCCTGGGCTCCCCTTGTGTTTACACAACTTGTCTCTGGGCCTGGCCCCGACCTTGCCCCGCTGTAGCCTGGGCTGGGCTGCACCCTCCCACTCAGGCTGCTCACAGGTGGCACTGCAGTGGTGATGGGCACCCAGCTCCCTTCCCCAGTGAGCTGCTCCCCCAGTCCCTGTGGTTAGGGCACCCCTTGGCCTCTGCAGGGTTTCTCACCAGCTCAGAGAGACCGTTTGCAGAGCTTGTGGTGCTGCAGCCACCCTAGCCATGCTGTCCTGCGGCAGGCCCCATCCCAGTCCGTCCCTCACTTTCACCCTGTTCCCTGGCAGACTGCCCGCAGATCCAGTGCGTCCACCCGTACGTGGCCCAGCAGCCAGACGAGCTGTCCTTAGAACTGGCCGATGTCCTCAACATCCTAGACAAGACAGATGACGGTACCAGGGATGGGATGGGGCTGGGTTGGGAGTCCCTGTAGAAGGGTGGGCTTTGCTCTAGGCAGACAGCTGCCGAACAGACAGGAGGGGCCCTCTGGGCAGGGAGAGACCCCCACATCGGCATTGCAGCCACGGGAGCAGGAGGAGAGAGTTACTGCCTCCTCCTAACACTCAGCAAATCCAGGCTGCCTCGAGCTGTGGCTGTGTGGGGCCTGGCAGGGCTGGCACAGCTGCCCTAGATGTGTCCCAGAGCTGTTCTTACCTTATGTGATGCTCTGCAGCCGCTTGGTCCTGGTCCCTGGGGCACGCTTGTAGCTGGGGGACTCGGTCACACTGGATCTCTGCTGGGGACCACACCTGTGGCACACGGGGCAGTGGAGGGCACTCACTGGCAGCAGTGACTGCTTTCTGCTGGCATCCTTTGAGACAGTTTTCCAAACAGTGCTGCTCTGGTAAACGGGCCTCGTTAGCTAGATTTATAAACTGGGTCTGCTCCAGCACAGGCCTCAGCAGCTCTGTAGGCTCTTTCCAGCACAACTGCCCCAGTGCAGGAGAGAAGACCAGTCCTTCCCCATTTATGCCCCATCTCTATCTCTGCTCAGGCTGGATATTCGGGGAGCGTCTTCACGACCAGGAGAGGGGCTGGTTCCCCAGTTCTATGGGGGAGGAGATCCTGAACCCCAAAATCCGAGCCCAGAACTTGAAGGAATGTTTCCGGGTGCACAAGTCGGATGACAGTCAGCGGAGGAAACTGGGCAGCAGAAACCGCCAATGACTGCTGGCGTTCCTGAGCGTCTGGAGTGACTCTGGGAGAGGGGTGGAGGACAGAGGCTGCCAGCTGGGAGGACGTGGTGGTGGTGTGGTGGGCTGTGGTGTGCTGGAACAGGCACGTGCACCCCTAAACAACCAGACTGTAGTCCCTGGGCTCTCCACCATACTTCCTGCAGCATTGATACTTCCCCAGAGATCAGTGCTTTGTGCTGGCTAAAAGAGGTCCCCCCTTTTCCAGGTGTTCTGTAAAGCTCCAAGGAGCACGAGCCAAATGGACATGGCCCGGACACCACCGGGTGCTGGCCAGCTGACCCCCTACTCCCTGCACGCTAGCTGGGGCTGCCTCAGGCCGCTCAGGAAAGGCACGTGGCCACAAACGTAACAAAGCAATTAACATCACCCGTTTTGAGCACGTACAGCTCATCCCTACCTTCTGAGTCTGGTGCCCGCCTAAAACAGCATGTTACAGAGGTACAGAGCTGTCTCTCGCTGCCTTGTCGGCACAAGGCTGGGATGAGCCTCAACAACTCCACCTTCCCCAGTCCTGCTGAGAAGACCCTCAATCTGCTTCCAGTCAAACTTCCCGAAATGTTCTGTACCTGGCCCCACTCCACCAGCAGCCCTCGCCTGCCCGACAGCCTCGAATCACATCTGGGCATTGCTCCATGACTCAACCCCTCTTCCACAGCCAGCATCTCTCCGCAAAGCTGCTGCAGGAGCCTGGTGCCGCAGCTCTTCCCACCTGATCTGGCCCTCGCGGTCTCCGCCTCTTGCTCTTGCTGAGGCACAGAGTAGCCTGGCTGTGCCGGCACCTGCCCGCACACCACCACGTACCACTGGAGCACCAGCAGACCCCAGGCTGCCACACAGCAGGCGAGTGACATTACCCCAGGAGCTGCTATCCTGTGTGCTGTAGGAGGCCCGGTGATCGCTGCCTGTACCTGCTACACCCAGCTGCTCGCACAACGTGCGGGCACAAACTCCCTGTACAGGCTCACCTCCATGTATATACGCAAATCCTGTTGCCAGCAGAGCCGGATCGTCACTCCTTCCAGCTGTGGCACTGAGCACTGCATGAAGCCCAGGGCGCAGCACTGAGATGGGCCAGGGGACGGATCCACAGCAACCGCTTGTTGTTCGACAGCCTCACTCTAAACAGTCCCACACGTGGCTGCAGCCGAGGGCGTCTTAGCTACAGGCTGGTCCCAAGCTGCAACCAGCATCTGTCAGGAAAATCAAGCATTTGGCATCTTTCTGTAACGCTGCGAAGGAGAGTCTTCCAGGTGCTGTGGCTGGCACTGCTGTACCTCCAGCCATGCCACGGCTGTGCTCAACAAGGGGATGGAGAGCAGGAGCCTCCCAATGGAGCCAGGCACCAGCCACGTGCAGGGAGCGGAGGAGCACGGCTGTGCCGACGACAGCGTGAGGAGGAAGCAGGACACGGGGGAGCTGCTGGAGCTGGTCTTTGGGCCACACAGGGCCCAGGTTATACAAAGAGTGTGTGGCATGAGGCCGAGTCTGTACTGTCACCATAGCCCTGGTACAGCCAGCCCAGAGTCAGCCTGGCACTGGTGGGGGGGGGCAGCCTCTAGGACCAAACTGGTGCAACTCACAGCTGTGAATGGAGAGTGAAGGGGTCCCCATCAAAAAGGCCTGGCTCAGTGCCTCTGTGTCAGCATGTGACAACAGCCAGAAGGGCTGTGCCTGCCCCGACCACCTTTAGTGCCCCCGAGAGAGGGCCTCTGGGCAGTGTGCACAAGCCAGGAGCTCACGGATCCCTGCCAGCACCCAGCCA